AAATTCACAACTTAAAATGACTGGTTTCAAAAAGCCCACAAATTTATCACTAAAATGATCAGTTTTAAGAAAGTCAGATTAATATATTCTCTGCAATTAAAATCTTTTAGACAAATCAATTTTGCCAATTAAGAAAATTGTTTCAAAAAGCCTTAAAAAGTAGATTCCAACTGCTGCACAGACAATTCTTATCTCTTGTCCCTTCACCAACTGTTGACCAGCTTGAAAGCACAACTGATTGGAAAGCATTCCAATCAACAGGGAGATGCAAAACAGAAGTTAAACAAGCGCCTGTCAGTCTTCACTGAAGTTCTCTTTAATAAAATGTTCAGGACACAAACTATATTTGCTCAATTTTTGTTCCATCTTATAAGAAATGGACACTCCAAACTCTTTAATAAAATGAGTTGAAAGATCATTATTTTTCACTACCGAGTCTTTAAATCCCTTTCAAATCCTTGGCTGAACTTTTGTGACATTTTTAGCGCATTCGAAACATCAAGATATTTCACTGCATATGTACGTGTTATTCCTGTCTCTACTAGTAATACACTGTCACAAAGTTCAATCTGTCCACTATTCTGTTTCGATACATTGATACAGAATAGGTTCTATTATTAAAAACTGAAACACAGAAAGTAGGTGAAGGAAACAATTTTCAGTTTCAAATCATTTCACATTACATACAACACTATCTCATCTCCCTCCTTAGAGTTCAGATAAAAATCAGGATTAAACTGATAAACTGAACTATAAAAGCCATTAGGTATTTTTATTCCACTTCACAAATTAGTCTGGTCATAAATATGACAATCTTCTTAAAAGCAAATAAACTATCAAGTTAGATTACTGTGATATTTTGAATCAGTTATAAAAATTGAAACAGGGGATTTTCCCCCGCCTCACAAGCCTAAACAAGTGAACTATGTAATGGATATCACCATCTATCCTACATTTAGGGTGGGATTGTCAAAAGCACTCAGTATTGATTTGTTAGGACAAAGTTTAGCAGTTTTTGAAGTCTCATCCCTAGTTTCTAATCTTTACCTCTTTAGACAAAGTCCACTGAAACACACACCAAATTTAGCAGGCTTGATGCCATAAAAACACTTTAACCCATTGCAGTTTTGATGCAATCACCTTCAATATTTATTATTACATACACTAACTATTTTAAAAGAACATTAAGGTTGCAGAGTCAAGCACTAAAAACTTGGACATCTTTCATTGACGTTTTCTATCGAAGCTCTTCCATGGATTGGAAACTAGAATACAGACATAAAACCTTCCATTAAACTCTTTGAATTCCCTTCCCCCATCCTTCTTGAAAGATTATGTGAGGTTGGGGGTCTGAGAAGAATATCCCTTGTATTAACTATCTCAGGGCCCCGCCCCACTCCACGTACAAAAATGAAATTAAAGCACTAGCTGTGTGCATATATTCCTTCCTGTAGAAATGACGATACACACCCTTTATGAGTAAATGCAGAGGATCAATAAAGAAGGTATTACAGACTGGTGCAAAAATACTGGACTGTGACCCCATGGGCAGAACAAAAGAGCATTTAAAAATAGGTGCTGTCTCAACAGGAACCAAAATTGGATTACATATTTAATTGGCACTACTACATATTTTACTGCATAGTCATCTTCTACTCTTGTGACAAAAAATTACACCCTCTTCTCTTATGCCAAAATGCATTCAGACAAAACCAGAAATGTCCAAGAGTACTGATATGCAAAGAACGCACTAAAATATATTGTAAAAGTAAAAAAAGCTTGGCATACAAGGTAAGAAATAATCCAAAATTTAACCCCCTAGAAACCCCCTAGAATACTTCTGATGATATGAGAACATATACAAAGGTATATTTTGACGTTATAAATTTTCCCCTGGTTACAGGATATTAGTATGGGAAAACTGTATACTTTATAGGCTGCTGAGCCTAATATGGATCACTCACGTAAAACAGCGGTATTACCAAGCATCTTGAAGTTACAAGGTATTGAACATTTTAAGAAAAAGCCACTGTTTTGCTCACTATTGTTTAAGAGTTCCTTTGAAATATGAATCAGAAAATATTGGACTTCTCCTCCCTACATACTCTCATTTGTTACCACAGGGTTGCTCATCAGTGTGACTGCCATCAGATCTAGGCAGACTTTGTGCAAGCAGAATGGTCCAATGAGTCAAAGAGGGTCTACACAGCACAAAAATCTGCTTGTGCAGATTGGACTGCAGGATCAGGGCCTAATTTTGCAATGTATAGTACAATTTTCATTAGCTGTGCTGTTGCAGTGCTATTCCCCATTCCTACATGACATTTAAAACTTATATACTCTACAGATTGTAAATTTTAACTGTTTGATTGACCAAGCAGTAAATATTTTGTAACTTTTTCCTTCCTTAATTTTTCCCAGGTATGTCTTGACTTCCATATACTTAAAAAATGAAAAAAAAAATAAAATAAAATAAAATCTTGGCTTTGATCATGTTTCTTTAAATTTCTATTTGAGTCAAATAATTCAATGTCATTTGAATCCCAGGTAAATGCTACCAATCAAAAATTTAAATCAGTTTTCTTGGGCTAAAACTTTGTCTACTATATAAACTACTAGCCTCGATACAGGTTTTATTTATTTTTTAAAAACTAGTTTTAGATCAGTTTATCTTCTCCCCAGTGTGTTAGTGGCAGAGTTTATATTGCCAAGCAAGTGACCTGTTCTGAAAATAAAGAAGCAGGGATTGTGAAGTCAGCAGACACAGAACATTCGACCCACTGGATAAGATGCACGCTCAAGACAGAGCCAACAAGGAAAGAGGTGTGCATTTACGGGGGCGATTCTGATCTACTTTAAAAAGAAAAGATATCTAATCCTACCCAAGTACTGCAACATAAAATTGGGGGGTGGGAAGAGAAGCTGGAGAATAAAGTAAGCGGGGAAGTTAGGAGAATCTCAGTGATCCACTGGGAATGCAGAAATACCACCATAAAAGTTATTTTACTTTGGTCTAATATCTTAACATTATGAAAAATAGAGCAGCTGATTTACTTTTGGGACACTGTGACCTACATTAAAAATTGAATATTTCCATTCACACAGCTCTGATCCCTTGACTTAACAAAAATTAACAAAGATTAATTACGTGACTGTACTACTATTCAGCAGCCCAACAGAAACACAATCAAAGCTCCATAGCACTATGCAACTGCTTATATACACACACATATCATATGTGTAGGTCTTTGCCTATAACAACGTTTTCTTAACATTAAGTGCTTTTCTTACTATTTAAATGTGAGTATTTGGAGATATTTAGTATTAGTTTGAGGAAGAGCACTGAAGCTGGGCATAGTCCCAGACAACCACAGAAACCCTCAACAGGCATATACTAGTCCTGGATTCATTTTTGAGCAGCAATGAGGGACCAAGAGGAGACCACAGTAATTTTCACTTTAATCAAAGCCCTACTTCTGCTTAGTTCTATGCAGGAAATATATTTACCACACTTCTATGGATGTTTCAGCTATATGATCATATACTTTAATATCCTACCTGCTTATGCGATGACTGCTCTCTTGGCCAACATACCAGGGATTGAACCTGGGACCTCCAGACCTAAAAGTATGAGCTGCCAGCTTAAGCCAAAAAGCAAAGGATGTCTCCGTAGCTTATAGCTATAACAACTCATAATCTTTGTGGATCTGCACTGAGGGAAAGCTGTAACTAACACTAACACACACACACGCCAGAAACAAGAGAAAAAGTTCTGTACACCTGGGATCCAAATGACAAACGCTAGGGAAAAGTTTAAGCCTAGCCCCTGAAAAACAACTAGGGTGTATTACACCATGATGGCTTCTGTGAAAAATTCCAATGAATAAGACATTTTCACTAAAGTCTACATTACAACCACTCCCATGATGTCTCCTCATTTCCCATATGCAGTCTGAATTAGGCTTTTTTATTTGTTCTTAATGGCAGAAAAATCAATCATGTCAAACCATGGAATTCCTTCTACACAAATCCCTGTAGAAAACAGATACCTCTAAACAGAGTTCTGTATCAAATGACATCCAAAGGAATCTCATGAACACAATACAATCTCAGTGAAAGTTACTGTGGTGGCAAGTTGAAGACAGAATGTCAGGCAACTTAACTTACATTTCCTCATTTTGTGAGTTACACCAGACTCAGTTTTATTTTAAGTGATGCACTCAATACACTAATCAAATCAACAGCTGAAACCTTCAGACAACTAAGAACCTTACTCTCACCATTTTTTGTCTTCCTGGTACATTGCAATTTATGGATTTCAGGTTTACTTCTCAACTTCAATCTACCATAGGCAGCAGAAAATGAAAGAGAAAAAATCTGACATACTAGAAATAAAATATCTGGGAAAGCGGCTATTAGAGGTTAGGTATTTCATCATTTTGAAGGGCCTCCATACAGTACCTCTGTTACCATATTAATCTGCTTTCTCTCTTAAGAGTCATACTATTTCCTACACAGCAAGAGCGGTGCCTTCAAGTCTCATGCTGGACATGAACAGCGGAGTTAAACAGCATCACTAATTACAAACAACGGTCTCCACACAGTAACATCCAGGTGTTTTGTGGAAACCTTTCCAAGCTCACTTTCTTGCAGAGGGGAGAATCTCAACCTCCTGAGGCTGTCACGGCTTCAGGTAGCCCTTGTAAGGCGCTGTGGCGGCACAGTCACCTCCTCCCGCCTCTCTTCTCCGCCCCATTAGCTCGGGAGCGACAGAAAGCGAAGCGATGTGGCGTCTAAAGGGAGCTCCAGCGCTGCCTAACAGTCAGAGCAGGTGACTGACAGGAATCGTGAGTCCTATTCCTGGCGCGGCGCTGCCTCTGTGGGCCCCGAGGCCACGCATTTCACCCCGGCTTACTCAGCGGCCACACGGCAGGGGAGTCGTGATGCTCCCCCGCCCCGGGCATGCCGAGGCGCCGCTCGGCCCGGCGCGCGATACTCACAGTCCAGGTGCTTCTTCTTCGGCCCCATGACTTCGTGGGTCGTCGCCTTGCAGACGGCTTTGGAGATGGCTGACCCGGTGACACTGTGCTGGGCGGCCGCGATGCGGTCGGTGATCGACTGGCCCGACATCTTCCGCTCCGCCGGCCCCGCTCACCAGCCTGGGGTCCCGCCGGCCTGCCCCGCACCCACGGGGAGAGACGGGACTGACACCCGCCGGGAACTAGCCAACCAGCCCGCCCTGAGAGCGCCCGCAGCCTAGGGCAAGGTCCCCTGCGGCCCTGCTGTGCGCCGGGGGCCAGCAAGCCGCTACGGCCCCAGGGTACCGCAGCCCGCTGCCTCCTTCCCTGGGCTGCTCGCCGGCCCGGGCCGAAGGGGCCGCGCTGCTCTCCGGGGGGGAGGGGTGGGGCTCTCTCCGCCGCGCGCCCCGCTTGGTCTCCTGGGCTCCGCTCCGGCTTTTCCTTTCACATTTCCACTCCCAGTCCCAGACAAAATGGCGGCGGCTCCGCCTCGGTGGCGGAATCACGTGACCTAGCGGTTGCCCCGCCTCCCCCCCCGTTTCCTTCGCTCCACCCCCACCCCCCCCGCGTTAAGGTGGAACCGGCCACCCGCCCCAGAGTGGTGCTGGGGTCCGGGGCAGAGCCTGTCCCCACCACTACCTCCAACATACACCCGAGATCCAGCTGGTCTCGGTGCTACCAGAGCCCCTCAATAAACCCCTGCCCATCTCAGGGAGCCCCACCCCAAAAGTGTATCCATCCAGACCCCCAGGGTGCCCAGGCAGCCCCCCACCAAGAAATACCCCAAAGCCGGGCTCCCTCGGACAAGCACTATAGCATATGGTTGTTTTAAATTAACCTTGGCCTCCCACTTGCCTTCCTCCCCATTTCCTGGCCAGAACAGCAGAAAGAGGGGGTGAGGGAATGGGAGGTGTTCCCTGCCTACTTCCTTGCCCCCAAAGCTTTTCCAGGAGAGAAAATGTGGTTGCATTTTGTTATGCACTGAGCCAGGGGGTGGCCTTTTATGGCCCAAAAAAACACGCACACATTCAATAAAACAGTTAATTTGCTGGGAGACAGAGTCATAGGTGCAACATCCGCTTAAATAAGTGTCCAGGCAAGTGCTGTTGAACTAGACATGAGTCTTTGTAAAAGAATCCTGGATGGGTGTGCTACTCGTCTTGTTTTTTGGAGGACCTATTAGATTTTCAAGAGTCATGCACAATTTAAAAAACAAAAAACATCCCCCAAGCCCCAGGAATTTGGGTCATGGAAATGGATCAAGATGTGGATCATACAGCTTGAATTGTAGTTTCAGGCTGCCTCAGCACATCAGAAAGTTATGAAATGATGCCAGCCATGATGTGGCATGAAGATGTTGCAATGCAATGTTTGCTATGTTGCAATTAGCAGTCCTCTAGGGAAACTTAGAAAAGAGGGAAAGGCTCCTCCAAGAAAAAAAATATTGTCATTTTTCTTGTCCGCTATCCTCATCTGATTCTTGCTCCTCATGAGTTAAAAAAAAGAAAGAAAAACTTGCTTGCTGCTCTTCTGTTTTTCTGCTGTGGATAAGGGAAGTATTACAAAACCCTAGTAAAAGTACAATTGTGCATGGTCAAAGTGATGGAAGACATGACCTAATAGGTCTTTGCATCTCTAGTTTCTGTGGCCAAGATCTCTCAGCTAGATCTGTGCAACACCGTTGGCTTCAGTGGAATTGCTCTGATACAAAAGGAGAAACTTTGGCCTGAACAGCTGGCTCCCTTGCTAGTCTCTTCCCGGTGATCCCATTAGGAGTCTCTGTATGATCAAATATACTAAGAGTTTCATGAGTGATTCCTTCACGGAGGGCATAAATTGATTCATGGAGACAGAAAACCTTGCTTTAATCACAGTGGAAGCTATCTGACATTGGTTTGACTATGAGGATGTGTCCTGTTTCTTTAAAATTGTAACTGGGAGCCAAACAGGATGGGAACGGGGGATAGATCTAGTCAGAAGGGAGGAAAAGGGGTAGCTTACGACATATGTACATTCAGTTCTTTGCTGAGACAGCCAACAAGGAAAATGGTGACTGTCAAATGTGATGGTGGTCTTTTGTGATATGGACACCTGTCCATTAGAGGCTGGACTGTGTCCAACGACTCATTTCAGATGTGCTGTCAAACAATCATCAATCAAATGGTGATGATATCTGGCCACTGGATTTAAACAGTCTAGAAATGATAGACTGTGTAACTCATTAGCAATTCCCTTGATTCCCATCCATTCCTGCTGTCTTTATGCCAACTGATCAGCTGGCTAAAATAGTGCAGAGGGTTGAGTGGAATTGTAAAAGTGAGTCAGGGCCTTCTCCTACTTGGAATAATTTTATAGCTGAAATTCACTCATCTGGTTTGTGGGTTTTGGATTGATTCCCATAGGTCAGTTAGTTGTGATTTTGAAAGACTGTCTTAGACACTCCCCCTGTCTATATTCATAAAAAATGGCAGCTCTTGAAATAAGACAAGAGAGAAGAAGCAGCTCTTTGAAGAAAATCTCTTATTGAGCGTCTGCTCCTCCTACTCCAAAGATAGTCAGTCACAAAACTCCCATTGACTTCAACATAATTGAAAGCCCTTATTGTATTAAGTTTATGTATCATTTGTGAGCTGGGATTGTCTGTAACTTCTCTAGGGGGAAGATGTGACAGATGTGAGACTTGGGAGTTCAAAAGACTATACTGAAAATATGCCAGACAAGTATGGACTTTTGGGACAATAACTATTAAGTTGATTTCCTGGGTATCCCTAGGGAGAGGTTAATCAAATCCCCCACTCTAGTTATGCAAAAACACAGCCTTTTGAAGCTATGTCCTGAGGAGAGGGTGTTTGTCTGTTGATTACCTGCTACACAGCCCAAGATCAGAGGCCCAAAAAATTGGCTGATCGATCCAGAACTGAGACTGGGCCAAAGACAGATATGAACTTGTAACCATCAGGTAAACCCACTTCTGGGTTTGGAAGGACTGAAACCTACCAAAGCTCTAGGCTAGAGTTAAGTTAACCTTTGATAAGCATTTGAGCATGTGTATAGGTTCTTTTATTGCTTTCATGTGTTTTCTCTATCTTGCTTTTACCTTAAGAATAAACGTGCTTGCTTAGAAGGAGCTGTGTGATAACTTATAACCGAGGGCAATACTGTGCTCATAGCCTTTGGAGAGAAACCGCAATGCAGCCTTGTAGGCAGTCAGGCTTGCTGGGGATATCCCAGGGAAAACCAGGGAGCTATGCGGCCTTAATATGCCTGGTCAGAAGGGATAAAGATATGGGTCTCTGCCCAGGAAAGGTGACGGTTGGGAGCCAGTAATAAAAGTGGGTGCTCTTGGCGGACCATAGTGTGTGGGGGAAATACAGGTACAGTTACCCTGAAACTGTGACAATGACATTATAGTTATTTATCCTGTACTAACATTTCCAAACTCTGGCATTCCGCTGAGTCTCATGGTGACTAGGTGTCATTGTCACACCAGGAAGAGTTATTTGTTTTTCAATAGCGCCTTGAAGCTCCAGTCAGTCTTGGGGCTCTATTATATTAGACGCTTCGAATACCTGGTAAGAGAGTTTACATTACCCTGTCCTGAAGTTTACATTAGAAATAAGGCTCATCAGAATGACTATTTTGAAAACACTTATGTATTGGTTTATAAAATAATCCATATATAGCACATTGTCAAAGAAGCATGACAGTGCAGCAGAGATATTAGCAGTACTGTGATCCAACAAAAGGTGTGTGGAGAAAGTGTTCCAACTCTTTAAGGAAAAAAATACAACTCCTGACACAGGTGAAAGATTCATATAACCCAAGGGCATAAATGCACTAAAACATGATCACTGCTGTTAGTAATGACAAACACTTCCTGCAGTTAAAAAAAAATAATTAAGAAATCTTCATTAGTCCCTCTGGCAACTGGCAATCTCAAGCTGCCTGAGTTTTGCCTTGAGACTTGTAGTGCTTAGAAAAAGCTTGAATCATCAAGGCCTGACATCAAAACTTCACCAAAAGAGAAGCTGAAGAGATTAAACAAACATTCTAAATATTTCTAACTCTTAGTAAGATAATACTTGCATCATCTTGTTCTGTGTGCTTGTGTAACTCTTGTTCCACTTCCACCACTGAATTATGCTGGTGCATTGAAAGGAAAGACTCCTTGGTATGTTACACTACCCTAGGTGCATTTTCTTTTATCCCCTTGTATTTCTTAGCTTCTGCATTTATTTGTTCAGCATATTTTGTGTGTGTGTGTGTGTGTTGTGTTTTTTTTTAAAGGACACAGGTTTTAAATTATGCTAATGAATTATTGCATGAGTATTAAATCACACTACTGCTTTATAAAGGAAAGGGTGGCAACTTTTTAAAAAAATCATGTAAGGGAATTCAGCTCTGAACATGTTTGGCATATTCCACTGTGCACATAAGTTCTTTTCTACTTTACCACAGATCCTGGGATCAATGGAACCTTTGAGCATGAAAAGGAATGGAGGACCTGGCCTTGATGAGCAAGTGAGAGCATAAATAGAAAGGGTGTGATGACAAGAGCGTGACTTGATCTGTAATCCATTGATCCCAAGATGCATTTCTACATCTGTGACATAATTCAGACATTTTTGCTAGTAAACTGGAGATATTTGAATGGGTGAAATTCTATATCTGTGGGATCACATACGGAAAAAGGTGAACAAAGTTACAAGATACCACAAGGGCAGAGTGTGACATGGTGAACTCATCACAATTAAGGACATTCGAACTAACTGTAATGAAGGGAAATGTTTGCCAGCCTTCAGTGCAGTATGATAAAGAAGAATTCTTTTAAAAGTGTGTGTTGTGGGCAGATGGGCACATCATGCTACCATGGGAAAGAATTTTAGTTAAGTGCAGATTTCTGTGAAGTCTGAGGGAAATCATGCCAAAGCACGCACACACATAAAACCTACCTTCAGTCAAAAACTTGATGTCAGTCCCTCACAATCCTCATGGTTGAAAAGAATTCTTCAGAGGAAAAATAGTTGTTGCTGAGCTTACAGCCCTTATGAAAGCACTGCAATACTCTAGTAATGGCCTAAAATACTGAGAGTGAAGTACAAAGTCTGTGTACTACTAAGCCTCACCAGACCCTACTGAGATGGGACAAAACCTTTTATCCAACTTCCCTGAATATTGGTAGTTCAAATCCCAATCACCCATGTTTCAGGGGTTATGTTTGCAACCAAACACAAAAGATGGTGTCTTTGGCTCTATTTAGTTTTAAAGAACTTAAAATATCTAAAATGTCTGTGGTACTGCCAATGCATTACAGTATGTGGGTAGTACTTGGTAGGCCACATATTATCTCTCTCTGTATCTGTCCCATGAGGACAAATCATACTTCACATGCTCCTTATTTAGGCAAAACTCTCATTGACAAACAATGGAAGTTTGCCTTAGTGTGGATCTCAGGA